GGCTTTTATATATATAATTGTGACATTGTCTACATTGTTCGTACGTAACATTTTTGCGTATGCTGATTAGAAACATAAACAAACACGGTGATAACACCATTTTTATATGCCACAGACAAACTTGATATTAGATATATAAACCATGTCATTAAAATTTTATAAACACGTTCTTGTGATCATGTTATGCACGGTTAACTGCGCTTTTACATAGCTTCCCCTTTCCCCATTTTGTATGTTGAAAATCGTTGAAACAACTTTGACCTTCTTTTATATAAAGATATGTCTTCTATAAATGCCAAACTCTTTGAAAGTGTATAGATTAGTGTAATAAATCCAGCAAAAGTATTCACGTCTTTCATGATTCGTATATATCATAAACATACTAGCAACTCACGTCCCTAGAATAAATAAATAATGTTTAAGAAAGATGACAATCAGGTAATTTTTCATCCTCCTACTTAGAAGATCGTTTTGATAATGTAGTGCTGGGCGTAGAAAGAATTAAGCAAACCTCATTTTAACAATATGCATTTTAAACGTTCCTGCATGACCTGCCTCCTCTGTTCAAACAGCATAGAGCAGAAATGTATGTGGCGAAGGGTGTTTTCAGTGCTTTCAATTACACTGCTATCTGTTTAATTGTTATCATTAAAAAGCTCTTTGTGGAACTTAGAAACGACCCTAGAGAGAGCACGTTTGTAAACGTGGAAGTATATGTTGTTTAGGCACAACTAATTACCGCTTCTTTCTGGCAACAAGATATAACTGAAATGTTTGACTATATCGTTGTTATCGCTCTAGCACGATTTTGATACGTTTCTTACGAAATCTGGCTATAAGTGATGAATGTTTGAATTTAAAACAGTCTACTTTATTGTTTTCGGTTAAACCCATCAGTAGCTATAAGTTATGGTTAAGGATTGCGTTATGTAAACCGAAAGAAAAATCTAGAAAAAAGGGTTAAACCAAGAATAAGTTACGTACAGTCAGTTTGCTTGATTTTTTGTTTTTTTAAATGTATACAGTGACAAAACAAGGAGTTTTGTTGTTGTTGTTCTGATTAAATTTTAACATAATACATGAAAAGTTGGCAAAATAGACTATTCAAATTTATAGATCTGTGAAAAATGTTATAATGTTTGGATAACTAGTGTAGGATTAAGAGCTTAGTAGAAATAACTCACAGGCGGCGTGGGTGTATGTGTCTTTACAAACGTGCATAAATCAAACAGGAACATATATATTATCTATTATTTAATGATCAGCTTTAAATTTTATATTTTTCAGGTAGTTTTCCAAGGCTTGTAAGAAACGTAATCACTTTAGAATGAATGTAACACCAATATATGTGCATATTGATTAAATAAACTAGTGGGATTTCCAAGTCGGAAATATTTTGAAGGAGGAAAAAACAAACTTTCTTTTTATTCGTACAGCTACAGAAATCAAAGACGACTACCGACAAGCACTGGTCAAAGGGTTGCCGTTTCCTATTTTAACCATTGCTGAATACCTCAGTCAAGATTTGGAGGGATTTTCTTGGGGCAGACAATACCGGCAGGCAGGATACTATTCCTACATATTACTTTGGTAAGATTCGTCTTTTATTAGCAATGGACGTCCTTTTTTCACTTGTGAAAAATATTATTTTATCACAGTTTTTGTGTCGTTTGTCTTATAATAATCTGTTTCTAATAAATCCTCATCGACAGTGTTCCTTTGAAAATAATTATTTTATGATATAATTACTAACATTGGAGCTGAGAAGTATTTGATTCTTTGTGCTGTAATTATTAATTGTCTTTCAAGTAATTGCTTCACAATATGTTAACTGTACAATACTCTGTTCCTGCCTTTATGCTGTTTAAACATTTACTAGCATACTTATTGTCCAATTATTTATTTGTAAGAAACTGTTTTTGTTAAGCTATCTATTGAAGTTAGATAACATCTGTTGTGAACAAATTTAACGCGACCCGTCAGTAGTAGTCCTGGCAAGAGGGTCGTATTTGATCGATCATAACCTCATTTCATGTCATGTACTAGAATGAAAAGATTCTATTCATCACGAGGAAATGATTGTATTTGTGAGAAAAGCTTATAGCTACCCTCTTAGACAAAGGTAAACATGCCAATATTTCCTCCATTCAAGAAATGCATATAAACTCTCTAGAAGTATTGGAAAAAATCAGGTTTTGCATAAGTTGTTGGAAAAACTTGATAAATTTGTCGACTGTTTTTCTAAACAAAACATTTTGAAGGGAAAGTCTTCCCTAAAGTAGTTGTTCTGCATTTATAAATGTTGATATTTCAAAGAAATTTGTGAAAGTTAACAATGTTGTGTGTAATCGATTAACTTTTGAAAACTGACAGAGAATGAAGTTTTAGCATACAACCTCTGGGCACAATCTGACTTATTATGGACAAACTTGGTCATGCAAGTCAAGTTTTAGCATACAACCTCTGGGCACAATCTGACTCATAATAGACAAACTTGGTCATGCAAGTCAAGTTTTAGCATACAACCTCTGGGCACAATCTGACTTATTATGGACAAACTTGGTCATGCAAGTCAAGTTTTAGCATACAACCTCTGGGCACAATCTGACTTATTATGGACAAACTTGGTCATGCAAGTCAAGTTTTAGCATACAACCTCTGGGCACAATCTGACTTATTATGGACAAACTTGGTCATGCAAGTCAAGTTTTAGCATACAACCTCTGGGCACAATCTGACTTATTATGGACAAACTTGGTCATACAATTCTTATACTGTCAGGCGAATAAAAAGAACTTTATAAATTAAACTTATACAAATTGAAAACAATGACTAAAACGTTTTCACAAAATGTATGAACAGTCATTTACATTGGCTATTCATAAATAAATAAAGTGCCTAGTTAATATTGTTCTCCACAGCCTTACTTGAGAATATAAAGTGCATAGTGGACCACAAAAACCGTTTCAAAATTTATCCGTGCAAAAATCGTGTTTCGATATCCGCAGTGGGCTCAACACAGATAACTTTGCGCTCAACAACAACAAAAAAAAACTAAATATTATTGATAATCACAATAAAAGACCAATGTTCTATTTTGTCGACTATATCATAGAACTGGTGAAATTGAAAGTCTAGTGATTGGTATTTGTGTGACCTTAATCCTTTTCTTTGATGAAAAGACGTTTATAAGTGTCAGTCACAGACTGGTATACATGAGTCTTTAAGTCATACTATCTCATGTAGAGATGGAATAAAAAAAATCTTTCTGTATATAATAGCCATAAGTCTATCTGTCTGTCATGCTCTCTGCCTCCTGAATGGTTAACCGTAGAATATATATATATATCAAAATACATTTTTCAATTCATAAAATTTTATATCGATTCGTCAGTCTTTGTATGTGCTGGATGGTCAATCCGAGAAAAAAACTTATTAAGAACAAAAATGTTTCTTTCTTGTGAGGGAATTTCACGAATAAAATAGGACTTCCTCCATCGACTGCTTGAAAGAAATATTTCGAAGATAGGAGCATGAACAGAAAAATCGCATAAAGAGAGGAACTTATTTGAGTATACATTTGTTGTTATACGGTTTATGTATGTATATATATATTTCATATCGGTATTATATACATGCATGACTTTATTGTATCATGTCGAATAAATTGAGTTGAATATCTCCCCTTTGACGCTTCTTATAGAAATGAGAACTTTCAAAAAGCGCTTACTTCGGTAGCGGTCTTTTCTGGCACTCAATAAAATAACAAGGAACGGTGGCATCTTGCGGAAAAAATACCCGCGGGTACTTAGTTAACGTGAACGCTCTATTGTGCTGGATGCACCCATTGCATAGAAATTCTATCATTTTTGCCAACAATGCATCGCAATCAGTCTCCTTTGCTTAAAAGCAAACACAATGCAATTTTCCTTATTGAATTACCTTATAAAATGACAACATACGGTTGTAAACGGCCCACTAGGCGACCATATTGCATATACACTATGATCCAAGGCACTGGGTTGGCTGCACATTTTTTATTAATTTTTTAAGGAAATTTCCCATTGAATTGTTTCAGCGGGCAACTGCTAGTAAATATATATATAAATACTTTACATTATTAACATACCTCAACCCTATATATATATTGGATACAACACACAAGAATTTTGAAAATGTGAATGGAAGAAGATATAGAGCGGAACACCCGCTAAACGTTAGCCATAAGCTACAACTTATTAGATGTGGTACATGGGCTTGTAGCATTTTATAGAGTCTAAACAAGCGTGCCATATAAGAAGTTAATTTCTTTGTCAACACAGCGTGACGATAGGTACAAACGACCTGTTCTGTTAAAGGTGCTCTATTAGTTGGAAAAATATAATAATAATACGGAAATGAGAATAACAGAAAGAGTGTAGTAAAAAAGTTTAACACTTCCTATATTGCGAAACATGCTTTTTGGTGTGATGATAGAGTTATGGAGCTGTTTAACTTAACCAGGCTGCATATAAAAAGATGTAGACCTGTACTATATGCCTTAACGTCATACAAAACTTCGACGCCCGTTGTCGAAGTGTGCAATAACTTAGTTACAAGTGCTAACCTAGAAGTTCATTGAAGCGCAATATGCTTCAAAACAGGGCGTTTTAACATATAGAATAGAGGATAGTATGATAGAAAACAATATATATTATATATGTATGGCATAGCTTCGAAAGTCCCCAGACCAAATCGTTCAACTTCTTAGGGCATAAATGTTATTATTATTTCGTCTTATGAAATACCTCCGTGGTCTAGTTGGTTCTTCTTTCTACATTTTAGTGAAAAACTTGCGTACAGAATAGAGGTGAAAGCAGAATCTTTCTTTATAGTAAACATGAATGCAAAATCATTCCTAAATATTTCTTATCTGTATAACCGTCATCTTATGAAGACAAACTACCGCCTCAGTTACCTTGTTCTGGGTGAATTTTCTTGCTTCTAGAATACTGTACAGCTGTGCCTTCCATCCAGTGGATTAACACATCCTAAATAATAAATCATAACTGATAAAGAGAAGAAATAAAGAAAACTACTTAAAGAACGACAAGGAATATGTGCTTATATGGTGCCATATCTCGAATTTATTCTTATTATTCTTTTCTCGGAATAACTAGACGTTTCAAAAAATGTTTGAACACAGTACACAATAGATACAGCACGTGTATACTCTGACAAGAGTTTTCTATGGTTCAAAGAACTGCGCAATGAAAGTATACAAAAGTTGGATTTATTTTTCTATCATTTTCAATGTCACATAATTCATGTGTGTGACTCCTGATCTGCATGTTCTCAAACGATTAATAAAAAGTAATGTTATTCTCGTCTATAGGACATAATTCATGTTTGTGACTCCTGATCTGCATGTTCCCAAACGATTAATAAAAAAGTAATGTTATTCTCGTCTATAGGACAGCGTTTGCTTTGTGGCTGCTGATGAACATCCTACTATGCACTGTTCCCAGATATGGAGCTTACTGCATGCAACTTACAGGGGTCATCATGCTGCTCACTAACGCCATCTACGCTTTACTGCTGCCTCGAAAGCCTTTAGTCATTCCTTTCGAAGGTGGAACCCTCGCATTTAGATATGGCTGGTGCTTCTGGCTTTTACTTTCTGCTGGTGAGTCTATAAGAACTATTTATTTACTGTATGTTTTTCAATCTTAACCATAATCTGGTTAAACCTTGTGGATACTTTTAGAAATATAGCTGTAATTATATTATATGTAACAATAAGAGTACGTAACTAATGATCTAGTGAAAACTCATCATTATATATGTCAAGTCTCCTAACTGCTTTATATTGTATATATATTATGATCAAAATTATTCTTATATCTATATGTGATTATTCTACCAAACCTTACAATAGTGAGTACTTTATACTCAATTCAACGCACCTACTTATTTGGCGATGCTGAACTGACTTCATTAATGTGTATTTGAGTTTAGCTTATAAGAGTTATAATAATATGATTAGCTTATTGTGTTTAGGTAATTATCAGGATACGTTCTTTAAAAAAAATATTTACTTGTCATAAATTCATTTATACTGGCTTGCAAAACGAGCAAGTCAATAAGACTGTATGAGTGTTTATTAGTGTTTTGGTTAATCGTAGAAATTGCTAAAAGAGAGAAAAATAAAACTGGGAGGTTATATATATATTACACTGAGAAATAAAGGTAATAAAGTTAGAGAGTGAAGAGACACAAAACAAAACATTGAGGTTAAAGAAGGAGTAAAACATTTGATCGAGAGAACATTTTATAGCAAAGAACCAGGTTTGAAAAAAGAAAGGTAAGAGTTGATTGCCCAAGGCACTGATTATAGAACGTAACTAGAACGAAAAGTTAGGAATTATTCGAGATCAATAAAAGCACGAGATTTAGAATAAAAGTAAACAAGTGTATGAAAAAAAAAGAAATATAGGAAAAGCAACACAAAGAGATTGAAAATAACACAGCAGCAATGAGAAACATCAGTTTTGGAGTATTAGAAATATGGAAGTGGCATGTTGAAACAAATTGTTGGAAGTTATGAAATACGGGAAACCGTAAGAAATTACCAAATACAGGAAACAGGAAATGTGTTTGACAGATGGAAACATATACTTTCTTAAGCAAGGAAGCTCAAGTTGAAAAATTTAATTAAATAATATAGTTAATGATAAAAATTGTGATGTGAAGATGAAAGACAACTGACAAAGCTGGTGAAATGATTAAAGTCAAAACAGAAAACAATTTAAAAATAACGTCAACGTGATGAAACGAAAGCAAGAAAGATGAATTCAAAAGAAGATGAAAAGAAACAGTGGCTGACTAAACAACTTACTACCTTGTTCATGTGGGCCATTGCCTTCTCTGCAAGTAAAAGCGGAAGATTAGAAAACTGTCGTTTCGTTGTGCTTTGCTGGCTGCCGTATTGGCTAAGCAGCTGGCCCAGTAACCTCTATATTTTCACATTCAAAATAAGCGCAACAAAGAGACACTGTGTAAGACTAGGCTGCATTAACGGCTAGAGAGAGTAAAAAGACGACAGGTTTTTGAAAAAAACATTTTAGATTTACTTTACCTGCAGGTAGGTTTGAAAACGCTCTTAGGGGCGTTAGTAAATACGATCGATTTTTAAAACTTGTTTATGAAATACAGTATTACAGAAGGGTTCGCCGCTAGAAGAGTTTACCCTACTTTTCTCCAAGATTTTCTTCTTTTTTTTTGAGCGAATTATATATATCGACTTCTCATGAAAGATATTGATCACGGTTTTGTTTCCAACAACAACAAAACAAAAAACATTGTAATATTGTCAAGGGTTCAGTCTTTAAAACAATAGTAAACAGTATTAGTTAGTTCAATATTAAATACTATCGCGTTACCAAGACGTAGTGTAAAACGTAATACGTATGTTGAGACCGCGCCGTCTAGTGGTTTGGGTGATTCTAACTCTTGCTTTTATAAATTGGAGTTTTAACATTAGGTAATTAAGAACACATCCTCATGAATGGTTCGGAGAGCGATAATTTAAATGTGAATGAGAACAATGAAAATAAATGATCAGAAGTCATGCCTTATTCCAGTTTTTACATCTTATTAAAGGCGAACAAACCGTATCGCATTTAAAAAGGAATAACTGGCATTCCAGCATTTAACGTTGCAATAATATATGTATAATTGTATTATTTGGTTTTTGTAATGGTACTAGCATTGAGAAAATTAAATCAGAAAAAAAATATTTGTGGCTTGACCAGATATTGTATAGTTTATAATATAAAACATTATTATGTTCACGTTTGCTGACTGAACTAAGGGTCACTGATTACTCCAAAATCAAGTTACTAAAAGTGTAATGTGATCATATATGGGTATGATGAGATCATGAAATCCAGTAATGGAATAGATATGTGGATATGATGAGTTTATATAGTCCAGTACTGTAATACATATGTGGATTTGATGATAATATAGTCCACTACCGTAATACGTATCTGGACTTGACGAGTTGATGAAATCCAGTAATGAATTATATATGTGGAGATGATAAATTCATATAGTACAGTACCGTAGTCTATATGTGGACATGATGGTTTCATAAGTCCAGTAATGGAATATGTATGTGGATATCATGAGTTTATATAGTCCTGTACTGTAATAAATATGTGGACTTGATGAGTTCATGAAGTTGAGTAAAATAATTTGTATCTGGACATATTACTTTTCTGCAGAAGGCAGAATACATATAACCATAAAAATTAACAATCATACGAATAACAAAAAAGACAAAGTATCCAAAACACGAGTTAAATTTTGTTTTGATCACCAGTAAAATGTTTCTTTTTAATGTTGTGACTCCCCCGTTTAACTCTATGATGTGGAGAGTAATATCTTTGCCTCAATTTGTTAATTTCCATTTATTTTTGAGGTACTTTGTGAAAAACTACTGTTTTATTTAGTTATAGAGCTATACGAAAGGTGTTATTTACAAACTGCTGTAAATACAGTTGTAAATGCGCTATGCCAAAGCACGTACAGTTACATGTCATTATGTGGTTGTGATTTACATTTTTGTATAGCTCATTATTTACGTCATTAGCTATACTGTAAGCTTGAGGGCTTATAACACTAAAATTCGGTTTTACATCCTTGCAGTTGGCACATCACAGATAGTTATTGTTCTTATATGATACAAGAAACAAATTATTTTCCATATCTTAAAGACGACAGAAGCAGCAATCATCAAAATACGTTATTATAAATACATTCTGCATTTATATGATGATTTTTACGTTTATCCTATAATGTATTCTTGTTCAGAATGAAATCGTCATTTTGTTAGGTCGATCAAACAGAATCACGTTTTCAGCAAATTACTAACACGCAATTCGTATCTTTTTAGGAAATATCTGTCAACATGTACACTTCAACGCAATATTATTATTGAAAGCACTTATTCATACATATACATATGTATTAGCAAAATACCGCCGATAATGCATTAAACGTTTGAGATAACAATCTTACATAGATGCAACAAAATTACAATTGCTTAGTTTATGACAAGGAGTCTTCCTGTCTTATGATCAGGGTTTTAAAACACACATATACAAAAGATCGTTCTGTCAATGCTCGTGCACGACTCCCGCTTTACTCGAGCTGCATCATTCCAAACAGACTTTTGAACAGAATTCAGGAAAACAAACTACAATATATTTCACTTTCAACGTTCTGACGACACACACTCACACATATATGGATATAATGGGGGATATGAAATTTCAACGTGGTATCCAAGGTCAACGCCCGACGAAAGGCTCTGATGATGGGGAGTTTAGAGCGACACTATTTACAAAGCAGTCAATAGTTTTCATAGCGCGACAGCCCTGGGGAAGGGCCTAGCCACTTGTTTTAAATTTACCTTGAGATACAATAAATTAGGTCATGTGGCCCTTCACTGCAATTCACCAAATGCATTATTATGCTTATAGGCGTATTTGCATAGTTATACAACTTAAAAAAAAAACATTAGCTGAGACATTTAGTGGTGGTACAGCCTTAGAAGTATCATAACTAAATGTTCGGTGTTACTGACAAAATTAACCTCCCTCTGGTTAAACATTTATATCTGAAATTTATAATTATTATGTATGTGAGCAGTAAAAACTGGACAACTTTAATTAAAAGTATTGTCGCTAATAAAAGCTGTCTATCGAGCAGTTCAAATGTTTCGGTATAAAGATCGATTCTTACTTTAGTCACGAGCTTCCTTGGCTTTACATTATCTTAAGGGTCAAAGTGTCCATTATAGGACAACAAATAAGATTTGATTCATTAATTATTATGATCAGAACATAAGTTTCTTGTCTCTCATATTATTCAGAGAGATTTATAGTTTATGTTTTATTTAGTTTCGCCTAATGGTTCAACTCAGATGCCCCATTGTGTGGCTTTTGCTGGAAAAAAAACTAACAGAAATACAAATTACATTTTAGAAACTGATGAGGAATAAAAGTGAATGTAGAGAGATTTATAAGAAATGCAAAAAATCACTAAATTCACACGAAAAATATAGTTATAAAGATTAACGTGCTCAAAAACAAAATTAGTTGTTTCTTCTATGGTGATCTAATAGAAGGTGTTCAAAACCTAGTTTTACACGTCTAGTCTTAGCATTTTCGTTTTGGAATAAAGGCTTTTTCAACTGTTCTTTAATAAATTACTTTAAAATGTCCCCTTTTTGCACATTTTCTTATTACTTACATCAGTCTTTTAGATGGCAAATGAAAGTAAATGAAGGCGTAAATACCTCCCAGAAACTGATATTAGTTCAACAACACCATAGTGTCGTGTTTCCTATTATTTATACTTTGATTAATGAGATTTTCCCCATTTGTCTTGAATAACTTAACTATATCAGAAAATTCGTATTTGTAGCAAACTTTTCCCAATATTCAAATAAAATTACAACATCTTATTTTCTGTTTGTTTGTTTTTTAATTATGCACAAAGCTACACAAGGGCTATCTGTGCTCTGCCCACCACGGGTATCGAAACCCGGTTTCTAGCGTTGTAACTCCGCAGACATACCGCTGTGCCACTGGGGAGCCTTATTTTCTGATATAGATTTTAAACTTGATGGCTGTCATATTGAAAATAATGATTCGAGTTGTTCAAGTTCTTACAAAACTCTTTATTCCAAGAATGTAACTTTAGGCCCTTCAGAAAGAACTGTAACTGTTATGCCTTTCATGACGCGGGATTATCTTCTTATAAGGTGTATTCGTTTGATAATATAATTTCAAAAATGTATATAAAAGTGATAAGTTCAAATAGATTTCTTTGTATCAGTTATTTAGTTTTTAAGTGTGCTTGGTATTCTAGTATTTATAAATTCTGACATAATATAACATAAAATTATGTACATGCACTAGAAAATTTAGCAATAATTGTACTAAATAACGATAATAATTATGTGATTCTGTGATTTATATTTTCACACACTTTTGTCACATAGGAATCATCGCATTTCTGGTCGGGTTGACAGCTGCAGTCGTGGATATTATATTTCCACAAAAATTCTCGACGATAATAGAGGTTGATTACGATTCCCCCTACCGGTACTTAGCTGGAAAAGGCATCAAGTTGAAAAGAGAGCTAAGTAAAAGATATCAAAGAAAGAGTAAAGGCCTTATACCTAAAGATGACTCTTGTACCCTTGGGTGCAGCACACTGGGCATTGAAAACGCTGCATTCGAGAACGACGACAAAGATGCCAACAAAATGTTCAACGGGAAGAAAGCTGTTAGTCTTCAAGACTTCGGTACATATATCCAGCAGGAGGAAACTACAACAGAAGTATTCTCAACAATTAATAGGTAAACAAAGTTTCATATACGTATCTCTCCTAAGTCAATCTATAATTTGACAAAAACAAGTCAACATGTGCACTTCTTTGAAACAAGGTTATAAAATGTAATTGTAATATTGACACTGAAATGTTAAATTACAGAATTTTTTAAATTAATTCATGGTAAAAGTGCCGAGTGAAAAAAAAGTACAAAAATACATAACATTGGCGTACATAACCTATATGATGTAACTTATTATAACATATGCAATTTTTGTTTAATAATAATAACGCTTATGATTGAGAAGCATATAACAAGATAATTGAAAGTAGTGAAATTTTAGTTAAAAACGAATAATGTACAAATATTTGGCGTACTTATGTGTCATAAATATACATATACACGCGTTATGATATGCTGTTTGTTTCCAATATTCGCGCAAAGCTACACAAGCCACCCTTAATTTTGAACTCATAAAGTAGATGGAAGACAGGACCCACCGCCAACTCTTGGGATACTCTAATTGAATAATGGGATGTGACCGTTATTCTTATAACGCACCAACAACCCGAAAGAGCGGTTCTCGATTTTGCGACAACGAAACGAGATCCACGAACCTCGGATTCACGGTCTGGCACGCTTAGCACTTGTTCACGCCCGATACCTCACAATGCTATGTGAATGAGTGTCTCTCTCTCAAACACACGCATTGCATAACTGTAGACCACTTACGCCTAGTACATTTGAGAACTGAATAACTGTCACGACGGGCCAAACTCAATCCCCTGTAGGCCGAACTTTAAAACTTGCATATTTTTAGAATTAAAAATTGTGTATGTATTTAAGTATGTATGTATTTATATTTGGGTATATATACATATGTATATGGCCCACATTTCATATAACTTACTAACTCAAGTTTGTATAACTTGGTGCATTGTTATTTAAGTTACTATTAACGTCCTCTAAGGCCTAGCGGAGAGGCTTAGTTTGGATTCAGTGTAATTTCTTGCTGTCTCTCCTTTTGGTCCCCGATAGCTTAATGGTAAGCTTAAGAGTTTATAATGCCAAAATCCGGGGCTTGACCACGATGGGCACAACACAGATATCCCACTGTGTAGCTTTGCTTTTATCCACAAACAAACAAACCTGTTCTTTTGAATAAGTAACGTCTTCTGATAACTAATAAGTAAAATCCTTTTTGGACCTAGTCAAATGTAAGAGATGGAATTAATGTAGATTTAATTTAAGTATTTTCACACAATAAGTGCGTAACACTTTAACTGTATTTTATGGTAAATAATAACTGTTATAGTTCAAGAATGAACAAAAATTCCTAAGCATATAAATATAAAGTCCTTAAAAATAAACATTCCCAGCCTACTGTATGGAAAATCTGCTTCAAAAAACAATTTACACATCAAGTATGGAAAATACTGATTCATGTGCGAAGAAGCTTCATGATATATATATTATATATTTTACAGGAATGTGAATTGCTCGAAAAATGCCAATGGTACACATCAAGTTCAAGTGGAATTGGAATCAGCAGCAATGTGGTGACGATACCCTGAAGTCATCTTTTTTTATCAATAAAGACTGAAAAGGGTCGAGTGTAAAAATATAAAAGTGCCACATGTTTTAGTCATGCTAATATAGTTCCAGATTACCTTAGCTTTGGAATAATACAACTTACAATAAATTTGAAAAACAGACAATTTTGTTTTTTGAGACTTTGAGTGCGCCAACCACAGCACTTTTTATTGGTCTTTTGAAAATAGACAACTTTTTGACTAGTAAAAAGAAAAACTTTTATACTACCAAAAAACATTGTGTTTCGTAACTTATACCGTTGAGCAGAGAAGTAAAAGCACGTGTATATTTGTAATATTAATAAACCAATGATGAAAGTGCATATAACCTATTTGATATGATTACAAGAACTCAAGTGTTCTTACTGAATAGAAAAGACAATGGGTCCAAAGTGCCAGTTAGCTAATGAAGTAAATTATTTCATTTAAGTATCTAAGAAAAACGAAATTAATGTTTGTTATTCCATTTTAATATTATTAATATGCCTAAAAATTGTATGATATTTCGTAAAAATATTAAGCGATTTAAGCATAATCAGTATATTTGAAATTAAATACAGTTCCACTCATGAAAAGGTAAACTGTAGTATCAAAGTGAAGCCTTTATATTCGAAAAGAAAGAACCGCGAACAGGAATATATAGAAATACTCTTAAGACAGATTAAAATATCAATACTGAAATGAATGAAAGAATCAATGTATTATATTCACACACACACCAAGTGTTTAGATTATTAACGTATTATATTTATACACACCAGGTGTTTACATTGCACAGGTAAAGTTACATTTACATTTATTAGAACAAATTCTTGGTTTTTGTTTGCTATGAAGGGGATGTTCAAAACCATTTTCATAAGCTATACATAAGTGTTTAGAACATTACACTGAAATTTTGTATAATATTGAAAAATGTACAGACGTATTTTCAAACACAACAGCAAATAATAGAAACTAATAATTGTGTAAGTTGTAGCCAGCCAATCGCGTGTGCTGTCTTGCACATAAATGTTTTGTTTTGTTTTTTTGTCTGTAACTAGCAAAATTATATATACGAATTAAAATAGGCTATAAAAGTTCTGTACAAAAGTATTTGTATCTGTAAATTAAAATTAGTGTGCATTGATATATAAATATAATTATTTTACTATTTCAAGTTTAATCTATGTTAAATGCAACCATGATTATTAAGATAAATGCTGTCCATTTCGACTCATGTGTTGTCTCTCATTTTTTATTTTCTTTTTGTACGGGCCTTCTATAGGCAATCTTTGAATTTCGATTGATGACAGCTATACTTGTGATATTTGTAAAAAGTGTCTTTCAAACAATTTTTTTACTGTAAAAAGTTACAAATTAAGTATTGACTCGAAAGTCCACCTCATATGTGTAATAATTCTTATGAAATTCCAATATTTAAAAACGTATTTATTTGTCGTAAAAACCTCCCTACATGTATATTTTGTTTTTCAAACATGTTCCTTTTGTATTTCTTTCGTGTAGTCTTGTGTTAATTTTTTCGTGTAGTCTTGTGTTAATATTTGCACAAACGGCATATGATATATTTTGTTCGTTTGTTCTTGGGGAAATAATTTTAAAATGCAATCAAGTTATTGGGTACTAATTGTACATCACCATATTGCTTTCAATATTATTGTTTTCCTTAACTGTTTATACAAGTCAAGTTCTTATTTTTCATAGGTATATGAGATAAAAGAAGGCCTTATGAATATGTGTGACGCCACTATTATAGGGTGATTTTTGTGAAAAATGATAAATGTTTTGTATTACAGTCATTGACTAAATAAACAATGTGTTTATGTTACTGATTCAAAATTACTGTTTTTTGTGTTATTTGAAGAATCCTCAAATGTAGCATATAAGTAATTTAATATTTTAATCTTTAATTACAGTATGCATAACAAAGTGCACGTGTGTTGCTTGTAAAATCATTCCCTCGATCAGCTATCTCATTCTTGCCTCTGTTGGGTAACATGCTTCAACGTACTGAATTCAGAATACATTAATTTCTTACTTCTTGACTCGATAAGGAACTTCTAAAGAACACAGCTATGATAGGTCAACTGAAATACTCATTCACGGAACACATTATTTGTATCGTAATAACACTGCACTATGTATAGGATATGATATTAATTTACCATACAGAACTATAGGCAACTTATATAAACCCCACAAATAAAATATTTTCTCAAGAATATTTTAACATCAGTAAAGAGAGGATTAAGATATTAAAATAAAGAGATTATCCCAATTGTTTCATAGTACATTACGAAGTGAAGTAAAATACTTTGTCTGGAACTGTTTCTGTGTGAAACAGGTTCTAGCAGTTTAAAAAAGTGGTAATATATATTGGTATTTTTAACCAAAAGTCTCCAGATAGGAGAGATATGAAAGTTATCAAATATGTATAAAGAATAGATCTATGAGAACAAAAATCTTGTTGCATTTAAGTCTATTATTTTTCAATTACGATTTTTTCCATTCAATATTGAAGTAACTGTCAAGTATAAGAAGTACTGAATTATCGCAAACAACCCACTCAGATGTTACTGTATTAAAATTTTATGTATAAGTTCTGCCTGTACACACAGCCTACTAATCCTACAATCTGTTTCTCCATAGAGTGAGTAATTTAATCAGATTACAATATACTAATTTCTGGTGAGTAGATTGATGATAATCTGATGATATGAAATCAGTAATATTAAAATAGTTTCATATCTAAAGTAGAGAGGGTTTATTACGTTATATTAAAACGATTTGGAATGTTCAAACCAGCAAGTCATGTAACAACCATAGTCGGAACAGTATGCAAAAACCCTTTCCGACGCAAGATATTCATACTCTCATATTATAAAGATGTACTGAAATCGAGGATTTAAATTTACATATGAAGATATCCCATGTACTTAACTGTACGAATAAACGATTTAGAGAACCAGGACCATCTAGAAAGAGACACGCAACAAATCACACCTCAGCTTTGGTAAGCAAAGTGCACCCGTCTTCTAACAGGTGACAATCCACGAACACAAAGGGCACTAGTAAGAATCGTTCACATATTTCAGGTAATAGTGCTCAGTAAGATCAAGAAAGATCTTATGGAAAAGCGACACAAGTCACGTATACACAAGTTGATTCCATGACATATCCATTCAACCGACGCATTTCTCGAACAGCTGGAGAATGAAACTGGAATTGATGTTATTCCATATGAAATCATACCTGTCATGTCACCTATGGACTTTTGTATGATGCAGCTGTTGAAACGGGCACTGAGAAATCGTTTTCTTCGTATACTTGATATATTATGGAAAGCATCAGGGAGGAGAGTTTGTGCTTTGAACATGACAACTTTGAGACGGAGCCTTTTGTAATGTGTAACGAATTTATTGTTATGTATTTATCTTTAATATGAACGTTGTTTAGATTAAATATGTATTTAAAAATCTGCGTAACTTATAGTGTCGGAGATGTATTGCGTGTAACGAATTTGTTATGTATTTATTTTAATGATAACGTTTGTTGGATTGAGTTTATATGTAAAAACGTGCCTAGCTCACAGTGTTAGTTACGTATGGCGGAACTCCCGCCAATTCTCCAAGATTGTAGAATATTTGTGAACGCAAGAATCGACAATATATCCACTTCCGTAACCGGTTAAATATAGTTCAGTATTGTCCGAACGTTCGAAAAAAAAAAACATTTCTCGCACCTATAAAACAGGCAAGGTGACGCGCCAAAAAGGAAGAGAGCATATAAGTCTGCTAAGAAGCTGTTATAACCGTGTACGCTAACGTGAGTAACGTAAGTGGAGTAAAACTTGGATTTGCTCTTCTTTTCATCATTCATTACCGCAAAGGAGTAAATATACTGCACCCCTAAAAAAAGTAGAGTATTTCACTTTCCCAAGAAATATCATACAAAGGAATAAATACGAAACTACTTAAAAATTCGTCAATTTAACCCCTTTTTACTATTTCTGTGGCTTCAACAAGAAGTAATAATATCAATTATGCCTGGAAAAGGAGCAACTTATTTGCATATGATCCTCTATATTAAAATATATAGAACTGATTTAAACATCTAACCTGTATAAAAGCCATTGTGTGTTACGTCATGTCACGCTTGATTTCTCGAAATAGGAGGATTCATAAAACCCAACATGCATTTATCCAGGTAGAATAGTTCGATTACTGTCTGCCCATTACGATTTTAGTAACATGGGTGCAAGGGGGCCGTGAGAGGTGGGGTGCCATAAAACTCTTATAAGTGTAGTGAGTGTTGGGATCACCAGCCAAGTACATACAATTTATCATTAATGTAAAAATATCGATTCAATTTTAAACTTAAACCGTTTCTGAATTAAGCTACTTTCTGTTATATTACCAACGTTTTTAATGGAAAAAACACAATGGAGACTATAAATTAAATAATCAACAAATACTTTTCCAGCTTTGTTTTCTATACATTTCATTTTATACTTTCAGTACATAGACTAACAACAATATTAAGTTATACATTTGTTGCTAAGCAACGTGACAAAAGCCATTGTTTAAACGTAGTGTTACCAAAACGCACTGGCTTTTCTATATATTAGAAGTTGTTACTCTAACTGATTTTTACTAACAATTATTCTATGAATACCCCACAAATTCATTTCATGAATGATCTTAATTTTGATTGACTCACAAAGGAACTTACCGACGTTTTACTGCCTCTACTGCACTTTTCTGCCTCTTTTTTGGTCAAGCTTGATTTCGCAAAATGTATTTATTTCAGTTAGCTATGAAGTGTGAGGTTAGGGTATACTATGGGGTGGGGGTGGTAGTACTTGCCCCGTCAGTTTTGACAGGCTATACGCTACTATTTAGTAACAATGACAAAAGCAGTATTGGAAATTTTAGTGTTTCTTTGTTTTATTGAAAGTTTAATCTTTTTGTAATAAAGGGCCGATCGTGGCTTATAAGGTGCTACAACATTATGAGCTTCTTCAATTTGTTTACGGTATAGTATAGAGGATCGTTTTCCACTGCTACAAAATTAAACATGGTTATTGTTTTTACCTGGCTCTTTCAAATATATTTCTCTATTCTGCACACGCTTAAGCCTAAATGTATGTTTCTTGAGGCCATTTTTGTCTCTAAATGCATCACTGATATTACAAAAAGCACAAAACGTAGTCATATTTGTTCTTGATTATATCAATTACACAGGCCTGCGATGGTTTTATTGTCTTGGAATTATTACATGTTCTACAATAATTCCTGTACGCTGAATCCGAAAATGATATCCATTTTTTCCATCACGTACAAATTTTTCACAAAACGTCATATGTACTTTTACATAAGTGAATCATTTTCATTGAAATCGGGTTACATTTTCTTATGCTTAAAATGTTGACAACCACTGACTATAGATTTCTCTAGACCAATCGCGACGTGAGAGTCTTATCGATCGTTCTAGAACCCAAACTTAACGAACATAATTATAGAAAATGTTCATTGTGGTAAACGAAATAATAATTTGATCTAAGTAAAAGTTGTTTTTCTTTCCGATTTGTAAAAACTCTTTACGTGATAAGAAAAAAAGAATATTATTTTCGAAATCTGCGTAGCCTGTATTATGGAAAATCCGTTATTAAAACCAAAAAACTTTTGTGAAGTTTAAATTCGCAGCCCTGTGTTATCATTTGAAACTTCATCTTCCCAGGATTTCTTATAACACTGTCTTTTTTTTTTTCTTTTTGACCTTTATGTGTTTCTTTACTTGTTTTGCAGCTGCATTAAATAATATAATTTCTACATTTTAAAATGAAATATAAATAACAGAAGACCATTTGGTCCTTGAAGGCTTTCCTGGCACACCCTCCTTTGGCGAAAAGTAAAGTAAAAATAAAAATATTAAATCACCATTTATATTCCAAGAACTAGCTGATTTTCTCTTTAACTTCCGTAAGGTGCTAGCCTCAACCACTGCCAATGGCAACTCATTCCATAACCAATAACCCTGTTAGAAAAATAAAATTGTGTTAACTAGAGCTTACTCTTAATCTTAAACTAATTTCCTCTTGTCTTCAAGATAACAGCACAGAGGCCTTTATGCTATCGACATTCCAGACAATCTTATAACGTATATCAATCTTATAACTTCAATAAGATAATATATTACATTTCTTTCTCACAAGAAAATAAGTCAAGATATCTTAACCTATCCTCGAAGGTCATCTTTTCCATCCTCAGAATCGTTTCAGTAACCTTTGTCTGTGTCCTTTCTACTAAGTTAATATCCCTTCTTATATAACAAGAGCAGAAAATGCATACAAAATACTCCGAACGAACAATGTTGTCAGACAGGGTGAATTCATGCCTAATTGTGCTCGTTTTATTTAACTGAGGAATAAATCAAATTTATAATTTTTTTGCTTTTGAATTTCAAGACTGGTTAAATATTATTATTTGTATAGTGACTTCTTTGCGATACTATCCTGCTGGTGCTACCTTATATCAAGTAAAAAAAGTAAAAAAATAAAACTCTACAATTTCAATATTTCATCTGAAACTAAACATTCTCAAGACTGGCTAAATATTGAAAAAAAAAAAACAAAGTGTCTAACTGACATAATTTTGATAGCCTAGCACTGCATTATGCAAACGGTAGAAGAAGCTGGTTACATTTGCCTTGATTATTCACGTCTTAAATAATATACCTAATCTACAAGTCTCAATCAATGAACGTAAAGTGTAATTACAGGCTCTATCACGAACAGTTCCCATTCTTAGGAGTTTTG